AAAAGAAAGATGTTAAATCTTCATTATTTCATTTAACATGTTTGCTTTGGTAGCTTCTAGTATGAAAGGTAGGCACCAAAGGGCAACTCTAACCAATACTTTTTTTCACTTTTTATTTTGAAATAATTTCCAATTTATTTTTCAAAAATAGCGCAAAGAATCCCTATGTACCTTTCACCCAGATTCCCCAGGAAATTAACATGGATACATGATCTAATCCAAAGACCTTACTCGAATCCCACTAGTTGTCCCAATGATATATATTTTTCTGGTCCAGGAGCCAGGCCACAGTTACATGATTCATTTATTTTTACACTCATTAGTGTCTTTTATTTTAGAATGGTGTTTTAGTCTTTCTTTGTCTTTCATGACCTTGGCTCTTGAAAAAGATAAAAAAATTAAGGCCACTTTTTTGTAGGATGTACTTTAATTTGGATTTGTCTGATAATTTCCTCGTGATTAAATTCAGGTTATGCCTTTTGGGTAAGAATACTGCAGAAGGAACTGTGCCCCCAGTGTATCACATAAGGAGCACATGCTATCAATATGTCCCATCATTGGTGACGTTAACTTCGATCATTGATTAAGGTGGTGTCTGTCCCGTTTCTTCAATGTAAAGTGGCTGTTTTTCCCTTTGTAATTAAGAAATATCTTGAGGGAGACTACACAAACACCCAATTTTTCATCATGTTTTTGCCCACGAAGTTTACCATCTGTTGATGATTTTTGCCTGAAGCAGTTATTACTGTGGTGTCTGACAAATGGTGATGATCTAATTCCATCATTCCTTCACTGTTGTTAGTTGGAATTCTACTTGAAGAAGAGCTTTTCCTTATCCCTCATTTATTTACTTATTCGTGTAAAATCTTTATATCAGTATGGACTCTTGGATGCTTTTTTTCATTATATAAATAGAATTCATTAATATTATTACTTATTTTGTTGTTTAAATGATCTCAAAGTGTTGGCTTTGGGTAGCCCCTTCTTGTTGGCTCCTGTCCTTTCAATATGTCTCATCAGTTTTTGAACATGTACTTGATTTCTGGTATCACACTAGTTCAGGATCATTTTGTGCTTCCCTGCTACAACCCTGAAATAAACTATTTTTCCAAGGAGTCTAGTCAGAGAAGAACACGTTAGACAGCATTTAAAATTTTTGAAATGGCCCAGAGAAGCTGAAAACCTTCAAGCATTGTGGAGGTATTTGCTTTCATGTGTACCAACAAAGTTGTCGTACAGGTTTTTAAATGGTTATACTGTAGACAAATTAGGGTCTACAAAAATAGTAATGCAGTAGAAATATAAAATATTTTAACCTTTGTCATATCAGGAAAAATAGTCATCACATTTACCATTTGGGCCCAAAGGACTCTTTTAATTTTTAAAAAAATATATATTTTTATTGATTTCAGAGAGGAAGGGAGAGAAAAAGAAAGATAGAAACATCAATAATGAGAGAGAATAATTGATCAATTGCCTCCTGCACGCCCCCTACTGGGGATCAAGCCCACAACCCAGGCATGTGCCTTTGGCTGGGGTCGAACCCGGATCCTTCAGTTCACAAGCTGACACTCTATCCACTGAGCCAAACCAGCTAGGGCTGGAATCTATATTTAAAATTTTTTAAATTATTTTATAAAAAAATTAGTAAATGAACAGATAGCTAAACCAATGAAATAATTGAAACATAGCAACCCAAAGTTTCTTCTGTATTTCTCTGGTTTTGAAAGTGTATATGCCTGAAATAAGCAATGGCCTTTGAGTGCACTGATACACTCAGTTTTCATGTATGAAATGGGAAATATTCATGTAATAAATACTGATTTCAGATTTTAAATACACATCTGGTAGGTTATAGCATATTATTTCTGTTTTTTTCTTACATGTGCATATAATGTAATACTATTAAAAAGTTTAAAGGCTTATAATTTTGTAAAAAGAGAATGGCCATAATTTTGTGCCATAATTATGAAAACTATTTTTAGTTTTGAAACCATAAATTTGATTAATCCAATTAACTTTTTAAATTTTTACATCATATCTGTCCTTTAAATCACCTTTGTGTATTCAGCTATCTTCAGTATTTATCCATTTATGAATCATAGCAAGTAAATTTTTATCTATACATGTAATAAAAGATACAACACTTGTTACATGTCCTTTTATCAAAACAAGATGGTCCAGGTTCTTGTTGCAAAATAATAAATGATTAAGTCCTTCCTGATGAGTGACTGGTTAAAATATCATATTCCTCTTTGTGTTTATAAATTGTTTGTTCTTTGATTTTTCAATTTGAGAAAATTTATTTATCCTAAAGACTCAGTCCAAGATTTTTCTCATTCAGTCAATTTTACCCTCATTAGTAGAGTCTCTAGTGTTTTTGTCTCTCTGTCCTCATCTTCTGACTCATCTAACAGTTGTGAAATGTCCTTGTAAATTTCCTTCTCTTTCCCATTATGGACAGAAATGAAACAATTTGAATTCTTAACTATGTTCAGTAAAAGCTAAAAAGAATGTGACAGAGGTGGTTCCTCCCAATTTTTGTATACCCTTTTGAAAGATAATACATTACTTTGGACAACACAGTAAGAAAAGTGAGTGATGATGAAATAAGGTGATGTGTTTATTTCTTCACTAGTGGCCTGTTTCACAGATTTGTGCACATTAAAGGAAATTAATTAGAAGAAATATTTTAATATCACTATTCACCCTTTCTCTATAATAGGTCAACCAAATTCACAATTGACAATGGCAGATTGAAACACATGTGTGCAATTGGTGCCAGTGAAAGCTTTATATTGTATGTATCATACATGCATGAGTCAACATTTATTTTTAAATTGCCAGTGTGTGTCAGATGTATTGGCCAGCCAGTTGGTTAGACAGTCACTTAGTCTTTTATATATATATATATAGATTTCTAGGCAGTACTGTAATGTTTTTGTTTCCTTATTTTTTTAGGATTTCTTTTAAGCATAGTTGGAAATATGAGTGATGATGAAATAGCAAAATGTTTCAAGATTTAGGAAAAATCACTAAGATCCCACATTATATCTTTGGTTTATAAAAAGATCAATGCTCCTAAATGAAAATAGTAAGAGAATAAATTTTATTCTACTAAAAACAAATAATTTTTCTTTTAGATCAAATTAAAAGACCTCTATGAAACAATAAAAGTCATGAAATATCAATCCTTACAAATAGAACTGCTCAGCAAAGAATCTTAAAAACTAAAACTGGATCGTGATGATTTTCCAAAGATTGAGAGTAGACAAATAATGGATAAAATGAATAACTATTGGCAAGACTCCTTGTTCCTTATTTCTGATAATAATACAGTACTTATGAATCCTTAATAAAATTAACCTCTTATTTTTGTGTGTGATCATATAGTGCTTTAAAGGAACATGTAGATATGATCAGCTGTGAACTGTTAGGAAATTTGTTAAATGGAGTGAAAAGAGAACTAAACCAGGAGTCTAAGAACTGTAGCTCTAATTCAGGCTTAGACACCAGCTAAGTAGTTGTGTTTCTTTGGACTGAGCAATCCTGGCAACCATGGCATCGTGGAAAGAGCAATAGACTGACTCAGAGCCACCATGAGAACCTGCTTCTTAGGACTCTTAACCTCCCGGCCTCTGTTGAATCATTTTCTGTAGAGATAATAAAATCCTGCTGTTAGGTGTGTTGTAAGTCTTTAATGAATTACTAGAAACTATGTAAGACGCTGCTTGGAAGGCTGGAACTCTTAGACATCTTTGCCGCTCCAGTGGCTAGAGGTAGTTAAGTCTTTATTGAATAAATGAGTACATGATACTAAGTATGTTTATAAATTGTATATTAAAATGTATGAAATTACAAGGTCATTGTATTTGTGTTTACTACATTTGTATTAAGTGCTATACAGATATATTTTTCCCCCTTTATCTTAAAAAGCCTTTAGGAAAAGATAACTTCTTCAACACAAGCTCATTGTTTTATCACAGCCAGGGAAAGGGAAAGCTTTGGAATAATATAGAACCTAATATTTAAAATTATAACTCTGTAATCATTTCGCCTCATCTGTGATTGTTAAAATGGCAGGCAATAATAAGCCAGTTTACCACTGATGGGCTCGTAAGTTCAGAAACTTTCATTGTCATGCCATTAATGGTACAGAGAATGCCTCTGTGCATTCTTTGACTTTTAATAGTCATAACTATTCATTTGGGTTTCTTTGTTAATGCAATAAAAATTTTTGAAATTTATTTCCCTTCTCTTTTAACTCATGTCTTATAAATATCTTCTGAGAAATTGACTCAAATAATTTCTTAAACCATTAGTCTCTGCCATTTTAATAAAATCTTCATTTTTTTTTATATAAGGAAACTTGAAAAATTTGAAAGTTATAGACCTTTTCCCTCTGCTAAGCCATGTAACCTACCAAGCAAAGAGAAAGAAATCTCACTTGGGTTCAACTTGTAACTTGTTTGATTCACTAGTTAGTTTGGTCAGAGTCGTTGCTCGATTAGGATCTGACTGTAAATTAAGTAAATGCTTATTTCAGCACCTTCAAGTTTCCCTGTGAAGACGCTTCTGCCTCTGACAGAGAATCTAGGATCTAAGGTTTGATCACTGTCAGTTTAATCCACAATTTACTCCTTATGTGTATTGGCAAGAGCTTGGACAATGGATCAAGAAATATTTTTTCAGCCCTAGTGTATGTTTTCTATGTTTATGAGTCTCTGTCCTTTCATTTCTCTTTGACTCTTTCACTGGCTCACAGGTTCACTGTATTTAATCTTTGGATGATATTGAGGTAAAAAAAAAATGTATAGAGGAAATTCCTGAATTGGGGGGGAAGCTGGATTGCATACTGTTTAGGGGTCTCTTACAACTCTTTATATTCTGTACTTTACTTGCATAGCTGAAAGCATATAGAGTATGCTTACTGTGATACTTCTGTCACAGTTTGCTTGTCACTTGCCTCACCAAGCCCATTCTGCTGTCTACTCCTTTAGATTTTTATTAACAACGAGTGGCAGAACTCCGAGAGCGGGAGAGTGTTCCCTGTCTATAATCCAGCCACGGGAGAACAGGTGTGTGAAGTTCAAGAAGCAGACAAGGTACGTCCTTCTTAGAAAAAAGACTCCCTATGACATTACTTTCCAGACACCATCCCTGACATTCACCCATCACCTTTTTCACGAGAGTGGTTGGTTCTTCCTTTATCTGGGGTGTTGTCTCGCTTCAGTTGTGCTCCATTCATTGTCTCTAACAGGCGGATATAGACAAAGCGGTGCAGGCAGCCCGCCTGGCTTTCTCTCTTGGTTCCGTGTGGAGAAGGATGGATGCTTCTGAAAGAGGCCGTCTGCTGGATAAGCTCGCAGACTTGGTGGAACGGGACAGGGCCGTGCTTGCGGTAAGTAGCCTAAGCAAACACATCTTTACCCCAAATTTACCTTTCCACTGAAATTCAGATTCCTCACTCTTTATGAAAGTATGGTGTGAAGCAGACCTGGGGGACAAGCCACGGTGTTCGTAACACAAGAACAACGAGAAATGTTTGGCTTTTGCGTCAGGTGGGGGAGGTAAGAGGAGGACCAGCTGAGTGTCTCACTTAATTCTGGAGAACAAAACCTTAGCTTCCTGCCTCCCTCCCTCCCGCCCTCCACAAACAAAACAAAATCACCCTGTTAAGCAGCAGGAGCATCACCATGCTGCTTGCAGAAAACCAATACCAAATGATTCATTGGAGAATCAAAAGGGCAGTTTTTGATGCCCCAGAGTTAACTCCTCTTGACTGAAGAGATTCCTTCAGGAGCATGGGACATGATGGGAAATGAATCCTGGTGCATTTCTGCCCCCTTTGTTCAGTCCCTTTCTGCTACTTCCTTTCACTAAAACAGTCTTTTTCTTACATAAGGAATTTTCCTCTCTTAATGTTTTTGTTGTTGTTACTGTCAGTAATTATTTTTAAAGTAAAATAATTTTGTTAGAGAAAAGAGTTTTTGGAAGCTGGAACCATTAGGAAATACCGGTTCTGTACACAAGGGATCTCCACGTGGATGACACACAACTGATCAATTAATATTTGAATGCCTTGCTTAGTCAGGTTATCCAAACCATGAAAGCTAGATCCTGTTGTCTACTTGGGCACACAGGTCCTCGTGAGGCTTGCTTTGGGAGAGGCAGGCATCAGTACCCTTCCTCAGTTCACACCTGCCATGGCCGCTCCCTCCCACCAGTCCACTCAGGGATCTGCTCAGAGTATGGAAACAGAAGTGCATCCTCATGGAGAGGGTTTGGAACGCTAGCTATACGTAACATTTATTCATCTATAAAACCATTTCCTAATCTGGTCCTTCAAGGAGGTGCTTATTCATATTGTGAAAAAGATGGTTCATGGTGAAATGGTTCCTTCTTGGAGATTCAAAAGACACCAAGCATATTAACAACTCTGAAAAGCCCTATCTCATGTTTCTCTCTCTCTCTCCCTCTCTCTCTCTCTCTCTCTCTCTCTCTCTCTCTCTCTCTCTCTCTCTCTCTTTTTTTTACTAGCCTATCAATATCATGAAAAACTGAATTTTTTGGAATAGCTTAGGGTATTCCAAGGTATAAGATGTTTTTGAGAGTGAAAATTAGCCAAGACCGGTTTGGCTCAGTGGATAGAACGTCGGCCTGCGGACTGAAGGGTCCAGGGTTCGATTCCGGTCAAGGGCATGTACCTTGGTTGTGGGCACATCCCCAGTAGGGGGTGTGCAAGCGACAGCTGGTTGATGTTTCTCTCTCATCGATATTTCTAACTCTCTATCCCTCTCAATTCTTCTCTGTGTAAAATAAAATAAAATAAAAATTATATTTGACTTAAAAAAATCCCTACCACAGTTCTTGGCATATAAATAGTTGGAGGGAGGTACTCTGAGGGTCTGTAAGGGTCAGCTTGATTAAGTTAAAGACATACAATATTTACATTAGGTTAACAATATGTACTAGAAGACAATACAGCTTATTTTTGTTGTTATAGTTTCATGTCATAAAATTCAAATGCCATTCTTTTTCTGACATTCGTCTCACTGTGATGACACTTGAATGGCTTTTTTACTTTATACCCTACCAAGTCCCCTGAAGAGTGAGTGTTAAAAAGAGGTAGCTTCTGGAATGTGAGGGAGCTCCTGCCTGAAATGGAAGTTAATACTGTATCCGAGTAAACACAGTTGAAAGTAAACCGAGTCTGGCAGCTATCAGGCAGATTTGCTGGTGTCAGTAGCTCCTAGGCACCATTCAGGTGGCCTGGATTGTCATTATTGACTCTGTTCTACTCTGTGCTATATAGATGGCTCTATGTTAGACATGGAGAATATGATGCTCATCTCATGAATGTATAAATATTCTAAAAAGTGCTAGGAAGTAATTTGATTTCCTTTAATAAAGGAAACATGATATTTTATTTATGTTTTTGAGGTGACATTGGTTAATAGGATCATATAAGCTTCAAGTGTGCATGTCTATGATACATGATCTGCATATTGCATTATGTGCCCACCATTCAAGTCAAATCATCCTCCATCACTGTGTATTAGGCCCCCTATATCCTTTACCACCTTCCCACCCACCTCTCTGTGGTAACCACCATGTTGTTGTTTGTATCTTTGGGTTTCAGTTTTATATTCCACATAGGAACAAAATCATATGGTTCTTAGCTTGAGAATATTATGCTAAGCAAAGTAAGTCACTCAGAAAAAGAAGCTAAGTAACACAATATTTTAAAATAAATTTCATCTTATACATACAGTAGGTGGATAAATTGCACTGTAAATAATAGCATTTTCATGTTATGGGATGGAGAACATTTCAATTTTAGTTTTCATACCACTATGTTTTATAAAATGTCCTTATAGAAAAGGGCATGAGATTAAACATGTTTGTTTATTTCATTTGTTCACCTTGTAACACCGTTAATATTTCTCAAGTCAAAATACTCTTTTCTAATCTCAGTGTAATCATTTCTAATTCTTTTTGTTATTGATTTAACCATTTAGAAACATGTGATTAAAATAATAGCATTTATAATCTAAAACTGCCTTATATCTTTATTTTTATTAAAGGAACCAGATACTTAACTCTCAATATATAAAGGTTGCTAATATAAATATTTACAAAAAAGCAGCCCCCAAGTAGTTAAAGCCTGAGCTTCCCTGGAGGAGACCTTGTTTATTTGGTGGCAATAAATAAACTCACTGTGCGCCGTGGATATTCCATTCCTCAGCAGGGGTCTTGGCAGCTGTGGAAAACGTTTTATATTCTCATCAGTTGTATAAAAGCCCCGTGTCCCTGCTCCTCTTTGTGGATTCAGATTACTGGCATGGACCCTGACCCCCTCCCTCTCCAGCTCTGATCACTTATATAAGAGAAGTTTGACTAGAGAGTATCTGTTTATCACCAGTTGAAGAAATCTTGTGTTTATGCACTTGGATAATGATTACTGGGAGCACGCAAGCCCAAGAATATGCACAGATATATTCGTTGTGATTTTTATTGGAAACTAAACTAAACTAAATGGCAGTACTGAAATCTTTGTATTTGAGAAATCAGAGTTGACCAGGTATGCCTCACTGTCCATATTCACCTGAGTTCTATTGCTTTCTTTTTTCTTCTGCTCCAGAAATTATTTAGCAAATCACTGGAAAGTTTTCTTTATTTCTTTTCCTGCAGACCATGGAATCCCTCAATGGTGGCAAACCGTTCCTGCAAGCTTTTTACGTGGATTTGCAGGGGGTCATCAAAACCCTTCGGTATTACGCAGGCTGGGCTGATAAAATTCACGGGATGACCATTCCTGTAGGTATGTGAAATCTGAGTACATTGAAAAAGGAAACATAAGACCCCACAGGAAACACACTTTTCATTACCAAACAAAAACAGCAGTCACATAGAACACAGATATGAGCACACTTCTAGCAGATTGAACTGAACAAAGAACCCAACAAATTGCATCACTCGTATAACGACCCTGTTTCTACACATAGACAGTTCGCATGTAAGTGCAGGGTAAAGTCACTTCCATCAGTACATCAGTGAGCCAAGGAATAGGTATGTGTCTGTCAGCTGCTGAGTGCTCAGCACTGGACTAGGTTAGGTTCAGAGATGGGGAGAGGCCTCGGGTTTGATGAAGTCTGGGAAAATTCTGAGAAGATTAAGACATAGTTCTTTCCCTCCTGAAACATGCCAGCAAGATCTATTTGTTTGGAAGGAAATACTCTAAAATGTTAACAGTTGTTTTCTCTTGGTGGTGAGATTATGGGTGACGTATTTCTTTTGAAAAAATATTTTTCCATATTGCCCATGAATTACTTTCACAATCTATAAAAACAGCAATCATCCTGATACCTTTCTTTTTTCTTTTTTAAAGACAGAGTACATATATATATATACATATTATTGATTTTTTTTTACAGAGAGGAAGGGAGAGGGACAGTGAGTTAGAAATGTCAATGAGAGAGAAACATCGATCTGCTGCTTCCTGCACACCTCCTACTGGGTATGTGCCCACAACCAAGGGTAACCAAGGTACATGCCCTTGACTGGAATTGAACATGGGACCTTTAAGTCCTCAGGCTGATGCTCTATCCTAGGGGTGTCGAACTCAATCAGAGAAGGGGCCAAAATCTAAAATCCAGCCTAAATCGCTGGCCGAATGGTTTACTGAACAGTCATAAACTGTCATTGTGATGGAAACGCAGCGGAGTGCAGTGATGACAGCGCAGTGCGGGCCACATTGCAAGGCCTGGCCGGACGGATTTGGCCCGCGGGCCTTGTGTTTGACACATGTGCTCTATCCTCTGAGCCAAAGCGGTTAGGGCTCTTTTTCTTTTTCTTTTATTTTTTTTTAAGTCATTTAGCTTGGTCTATCAGTGCTGTATTCCTTTAAAGGAGAGGGTAAGTATCCAGACTGAGTTCCTGATCTGAGCCTGAATATTAGGGATAGCGAATAACACATGGAGTGCTTGCCCAGCACCCCAAAAGGAAGGCACTATTATTAACCTCCTCACAGACAGAGGAAGAAACTGAGGCCTAGGGAAGTTAGATAATTTTTCTGAAATTTTAACATTAGTGCCTGGTGACTTGGCTCACTAGAGGATCCATTTTATCTACTGGGAGGAAGAGTTATGGCAGGAAAGGGACCAACTGAAAGAGCCATGGGGATGGGAGGTGAGTAGATACAAGGAAAGAAGATACATATTTATTGAGTGGCTCATGAAGGCTGCCAAGTCCCATGCCAGGTACTCTACCTGTGTTCTCCGGAACACAGCCTGCTCTCCCTGTGCATACAGTAGGTCATCGGGTTACATTGGAGATCTGTTCCTGCGACGTATTTTCGCAGTAAGTCGGAACCCCCTACATAAGCACCTGCGTCACTCACATGGAGCACATACACAGCAGTAATGAAGTGAAACAGTAAAAACAATGAAAAAGCAAGATAATAACTTCTGATCTTTACTTGTGGTAAATAAATAATAAAAAACATAAAGCACATCTGTACATACGTCGAAATGACAGAACTTCTTTTTAAATAAATAATTGGGACGTAACTACGAAACAAAGTATGTCGAGTCAGACATAACCCAAGGACTGCTTGTACTAGGAAGGGTGCAAAGTAATGCTGGGATACTGGGAGTGTCCTGTGAGGCATTCCTAGACTCAAGAGTATCTACATATATAAAAAGCCAGCGATCAGAAAGCTGTAATGACCAGAATGACTGGTCGCTATGATGCCCACTGTGACCAGCCAACTGGCCAGATCTGGAGGTGGGGCTGGCAGCCAACCTCCCACAGCCCCTCCCCCTAGCAGACCCCATTCCAGATCAGCCCCCCACCCCAATCAGGGGCAGGGTTGGCAGGCCAACTGCCTGTGGCTCCTCCCTGAGGCTGGTCCTGCCGCAAATGGGCCCCCACCACCCCAATTGACCTGCAGCTCCTTCCCCAAGCCAGCTCTGCTCCTATAGCACCCCCCCACACACACACACATATTGGGAGTGGGGCTGGCCAGCCAGCCTTCCACAGTCCCTCCCCCACCCAGCCAATTGAGGCAGGGCCCACTAGCCAATCACTTGCAGTCCCTCTCCCCAGCCGGCCTGGCCCTGATTGACCCTGATCAGGGTGGGCAGGTTGAAAAATCTCCCACTGTCTCTTCCTGACAGACCCAGCCCCAATTCATCCCAAGTGGGGCCAGACCCCACCAGTGCACAAGTTGGTTTATAAAAAGGGGATGGTTGGCTGATAGTGCAGATGGCTTAGAGCAGAGCAGTTCTTCTCAAACTTTATTGTACCTGTGTACCACCTGGAATCTTTTTCAAGTGCAGTTTCTGATTGAATAGGTGTGGGGTGGGACCTGAGATTCTGTATTCCTAACCAGCTACCTGGGCTGCGGAGCCTCTGCCTTGAGTTGCAAGGAGAGGACAGAGACCAGCACAGAGCAGGCACCTGCCTTCTCAGGTTCTGTGTTAAGCATTGGGAACTACAAAGGTGAGTAAGACGCTCATAAAATAGTAAGAAAAAGCAACAAGTAGACAAGCAAATGCAGTACAGTGTAGTTTGTTCATACGTGAAAGCATGAAGTTCAGTGGGAATCCAGAGGAGAGGCAATCTTAGCCAGTATTAAGGCTTCCTTGAGAAGGAGTTGAGATGAACCAGATGATACTTGAAGGGTAAGTAAGTAAAGATGGAGATAAGGCCATCACAGATGGTGGCAATCCCTGTGCAAAGCATGGGGAAAGGGGGGGGGGGGCGGGGGAGGAGAGTACAGAGTGGCAGTGGATCTGAAATAGAAGACAGTGGGGCTCTGGAGCTGGGGAAACTATGCTACACATTTTATTCCAATGGTGAGTCACTGAATTATTTTAAACACATGAGTGCCTTGATCAAAATTGCACTTTGATTACATGATGGACAATCAGTTGGAGAGAGCAAGTATCTGCTTCCTCCTCCACCCCCTCATAGGGTAGCCTCCCTCTAGAATATTTGGAAAGAGGAGAAAGGTTATGGCATGACCACTTGAGCCATCCACTGGACAACTGCTTCTCCTTCTGACTTGAGAGCCTCTCCCATTCCTCTCCATTACATCCCACGCAAGGCCCATCATGGGTGTTATCCCAGAGTCATGCAGTGTCAGTGTGATTCACGAAAGTCTTAATGCTTTTTCCTGTACAGCACTGTCTGTCATTTCCTGCTATGATGCTCAGTGGAGCTGTTGTCTCTGACCATAAATCCTATGCTCTGACCCTGCTACGATGGCACTTCGAATTATGTTGATAAATAATAACCATTACTATGATTTAGTGAACACCTTATTTGTACTCATTATGTTATCTCTAATCTCCTAGCAACCCAGTAGGCAAAGTATTATTTTTCCCATTTTGATTATTTTAAACTTATATTCTCTCATGTCCACAAACTCTTTATGATGGAGGATCAAAACTTATTTGCAATTAATGGAGGGAGAAATGGAGGTTAATTGATTTGTGTAAGGTTTTCCTCTGTAAATACCTAGTGTTGATTTTATTGATTTTGTGCTATGTAAGCAGAGAAAATATAGTTCATGCTTTAAGTTCAATTCCTACAAAATGGCTTTATATTAGCCTACAGAAAAGGTTAAAAACCTACTCAGGTCACATGTAATTATTTATTCACTTCCATCCCCTTTCAGTTTTATGCGTTCAATGAAATAATAGGTAAAAAGTGCTCAGACATTGACTCAGATCCTAAGGCTTTGCATTAAACAGCTACATCTAGTTTAGTGCTATTAATGAAGGTCACAAATGGTGAAATCTTATTGTTCCCTAAGAGGGGAGAGCAATTTGTTCTGCCCACCTAAGAAGAATCAGGGTAGTTAGTGGGACCTGAATTGGTGATGACAGGAGGTCATGAAGTCTGTTTCACAAGCTCCCCTCTTGGAGAGGTTTAAGGCTACATAGGCCTCAAGGATTCCTAAGGCCAATCTCCTCATTTTTCAGACAAAGAAACTGAGGTCCAGAAAAGTAATGTAAAGTCTCAGTGTTTGTATAGGTGTTTATAGTTTATCATTATAGCCGTAAACTGTTCTGCGAGGTCTGTTCAGTGTCTGTTCAGTGTCAGAATACATAGGAATCTGCCAGGGGACATAGCGGGTTGGATCAGTATAGCTGGTCTAATTGTTTTAATACTGGAGATGGAAAGATGACCTCCCATTCACGGAATTCTGTACAGATTTTTATGCTATCAAATAAACTCATTTTTAGTGTGACCAGGTATATCAAACTAACTGCAGTTCTTCAAATACTCTTACTATTGTCATGTAACTGAGAACTAGTTCTTGCAGTCCATTTTGGATAAACTTCTTAATTTCTGGCACATTTCAGATTTTTCTGATTTTATTGACTGTACATATTGCCCAATTATACTGCCTAATTTTTGTATAGACTATGCCAATGTCAGATATGCTTATGAGAAGTTTGTAAAAAAATTTTTTTCAAGCAACTATAAAATCTGCTTTAAGAAGGAATGTTTATTCTGAAGAAATAATCCAAATAATTAAATTGTTCTAATTAACTAAATAATTGCTATCTCTCTTGTGCAATTTTTTTAATCTTCACCAGAGGATACTTGTCCATTGATTTTTTAGAGAGAGTGAAAGAGAGAGGGAAAGACAGAGAGAAATATGGAGATGACAGAAGCACATCGATTAGTTGCCTTCTGCATATGCCCTGACAGGCCCAGGCCAGGGAGGGGCCTGCAACTGAGGCACGTGCCTGGAATTGAGCCCAGGACCCACAGGCCAACACTATCCCTGAGCCAAACCAGCCAAGT